TTAATTGGAGTAGTGACGAGGCTAAGGCGGGTCACTTACAATAACCTGCGAGCAGTATAATGATAATAATAATAATAATAATAATGATGATGATAATAATAATAATAATAATAATAATAATAATAATAATAATAATAATAATAATAATAATAATAATAATAATAATAATAATAATAATAAGAAAGGAAACACATAAACGGTAAGGCAATTACCTGATGAAAATTAACTCAATCCTCGAAATCAGTAAAACTAGAAACATTGTTCCTCTGAACCTCGTATGAAAACATTGAAAGCTATCACAATGCATCAATGAATATAAAATACATAATCCGCTACGGCGCGCAACCCGATCTCACCGTACAAATACAATCCTCCCTTATTTCACCAAATCAGTATCAAGAATAACAAGTAAAATCCGTTGCAGCACGCAACCGATCCCACCATATAATCAGAATCAATATTATAATCCTCCCTTATTTCTCCATATCAATATCACATATAAAATCTGTTGCGGTGTGCAATCTGATCCCACCATATCAATATCAATCCTCCCTTATTCTACCTGTTGCGGCGTGCAACCCGATCCATAAACAAAATTAATAAATATAATAAACTCAACAACGCATTTCACAAGAATCTCCGCAAAATAATGAATTATTAAAGCAAAACCATAATGGAAATCTCGTACCAAGTCAAGAAATGCTACAATTAATACAAAACGACAAGAGAAGCCAAATATATGACATTTAAAGTGTACAAGTAAGACAATTAAGGCAAGTAGCAGTTAATCACGGAGCATGGAAGAAACGAGCATTTCAATATAAGGGAAATGCTGCAGTGAATGGAAATCCAAATTATGAAAATGATGCTTCTGCAACAGTTTCATCCAGAAAGAGTCCCCCACTAAGGCTAACCAGGAGCAGAGCTGCTAGAAGTAGCAGTGTCCCACCAAAACAAAACCGAAAATCCTCCTTCCAATGATTAGTACAATCATTTGGAATGCAAGAGGCATCAGGTCCTCTAGAGCCATTGAAAGGCTCAAAATCCTGAAACAAATCCACAAACTTTCCTTCATTGCTGTCCTTGAACCTTTCCTAGACAACTCTCACATCAACTCTTTCAAAATCCAACTCTCAATGCATCAAGCTACTGCTAATGTCAATGATAAGATCTGGGTTTTTTGGGATAAGGATTTCTCTACTATGGTTCTAGATCATGATGAACAACAACTGTCCTTGGAAATGAAGCTTGTGGAAAATGGCAAATTGTTTCACCTAATAGTCATCTATGCCAAATGCAAGCCAGTTCTAAGAAGGCCATTGTGGGACACTCTAAGGCAGAAATCAACTACCTGCAATGTACCATGGTGTGTCATTGGAGACTTTAATGTCATTGCTTCTGTAGAAGAAAGATCGGTGGCATTCCATACCAGATGTCCAAGAGTCTTGATTTTTTGATCATGATGGAGGACTGTGGCCTTGTGGACTTAGGCTTCTATAGACCTAAATATACATGGTCTAATGTAAGGGGGCAATGTTCAATTAGATGGAAATGGCTTGATAGAGGACTAGCCAATGATCACTGGTTAGAAGCCTTTCCTGCTACCACAATCTCTCACCTAGATTCAGCAGGATATGATCACAATCCCTTACTCTTGGAACTCCCTATTAGGCACGACAGTTGCAAAAAGTATTTCAAATTCCTCAATTGCTGGGTGAACAACAACAGGTTTCTACCCTTGGTTTCAGAAATTTGGAGCAAAGATGTTAGAGGTAGTGCTATGTGGATATTTCACCAGAAAATTAAAGCACAAAGTCATGCTCTAAGTCTCTGGTCTAGACAACAATATGGGGATATTTTCCAAATCGTTAAAGAATTTGAGCAAAAGGTGAAGGATGCAGAGATGATCTGGGCCCAGACCAACACAGACACTGACAGAGCAACTCTCAACGAGTTTAAGGCTCAATATGTTAGACATCTGAAGGTTGAGCAGGATGTTCTGAAGCAGAAAACACAATTACAATGGTTCAAAGAAGGAGATGCCAATTCTATATACTTCCACAGCTTAATCAGAGGAAGAAGAAGGAAATTGTACATCTACAAAATCAATAATAAGGAGGGTCAATGGTTCCACGATGATGAAAATATCGGGAAGGATGCTTGTAATGACTTTCGAAACCACTTCACAGACCCGGGTCATTATTATAGAAGACCCGCTATCCATTATCCCAACCATGATATCTAGTGATGACAATGCAACACTCACCAGGGATCCATCTATGACAGAGCTCAAGGAAATTGTTTTCTCCATGAATCCTACTAGTGCAGCAGGACCTGATGGCATTAATGGGAAGTTCTATCAATCCTGTTGGGAAATCATCAAGGAAGACCTACTCAATGTTGTTTTGGCATTTTTTAGAGGCAGTTCAATGCCTAGATACATGACCAATACATGCCTTGTTCTCCTTCCTAAGGTTGAATTCCCTAATAGTCTCACAGAATTTAGGCCAATCGGCCTTAGCAACTTCATCAACAAGATTATTTCCAAGGTTATTTGCTCAAGGCTAGGCCCCATACTGCCAAAGATAATTTTTGCAGACCAATCAGGCTTTGTAAAGGGCAGGAATATCTCTAAAAACATTATGCTTGCACAATTTATTGTGCATGGTATCAAGAAGCCAACTGTGGGAAATGTGGTCATCAAACTTCATATGACCAAGGCCTATGACAGAGTATCCTGGAGCTTCACATGCATTATGCTCAGGAGGATGGAATTCAGTGAAATGATCGTTGACATGATTTGGAGAACAATGTCCAACAATTGGTACTCAGTCATTATTAATGGCACAAGATATGGTTTTTTCAAATCTACAAGAGGCCTCAAACAAGGTGATCCTTTAGCTTCCCCCCTTTTAATTATAGGAGCTGAACTACTGTCTAGAATGCTCAACACCCAGAATCATGATCAACTATTCCATGGATTTTACATGGAAAAGAGAGGTCCTCAAATCAACCATCTTAGTTTTGCAGATGATATCATCATCTTCACATCTGGCAGAAGAACCTCCCTTTGAAAAATCATGCGGATTCTGAACAATTATGAGAACACTTTTGGCCAACTCATCAACAGACACAAGAGCCACTTTATGACTGCATCCTCTGCATTGCCAAGTGCTATCAGAAGAATCCATCAGGAGATAGATTTTACTAGAAAAGACTCACCACTCACATACCTGGGCTGCCCATTGTACACTGGTAAGAGCAGGATTATGCACTTCAGTGGTCTCACCTCTAAGGTGGTATGAAGAATCAAAGGGTGGCATGGCAAGATGCTATCTTATGGTGGTAGGGAAACCTTGATCAAGCATGTTCTTCAATCCTTACCAATTCATCTACTCTCAGCAGTATCCCCACCAAAGACTGTCATGAAGCAAATTGAAAGGTTGACAGCTAACTTCATTTGGGGAATGGATAAAGACAAACACAAGTATCACTGGGCTTCATGGTCAAAGTTATCCTTACCTCTCAATGAAGGTGGTGTTGGTTTCAGAACTATCCATGATTCACGCAAAGCCATGGAACTAAAGCAATGGTGGCATTTCAGAACTGCAAACTCCCTTTGGAGTTCATTCCTGAAGGCAAAATACTGCCAAAGATCAAACCCCATATCCAAGAAATGGCATTCAGGCCAATCACAGACTTGGAAGAGATTGATGCTCAATAAGAAAGAAGCAGAAAGAGTAATTCACTGGAGGCTCCATAATGGGAAATGCAGCTTTTGGTGGGATAACTGGCTTGGCTCAGGACATTTGGCAGATAGCAGAACAGGTGGGGGCAGACTTCGGTAATATATTAGTGTCCCATTTCTGGAATGAAGGCAACTGGGACCTTCAAAAGCTCAATAGAAATGCCCCAGCTCACAAAATTTCAGAGATCATGCAGATAGTCATCTATTTCAATCTTGACCTCTTTGATACACCTATTTGGACTCCTACTATCAAGGGAAAGTTCACTTGTGCGTCTGCATGGGATCTCATCAGAAACAAAAATTCACCCAATTTCACTAACTGGATGACATGGCATAGGAAGATTCCTTTCAAGTGGTCCTTCTGCCTGCGGAGAGCACTTAGAAACAAGCTTCCAACTGATGATAGAGTGTTAAGATTCAGCAGTCCTACTATGTCCAAGTGTGTATGTTGTTCTATGCAAAAGCTCATTCAAGATACCCTCCCCATCATCATCTGTTGGAATTTATGGAAGAATAGATGCAGTGCAAAATATGGGGCAAAATCCTCATCCCTGACTAGAGTCACCTACTCTATCAACTCTGACATCAACATACTCTTATGATCCAACTTCCCTGATATTCAATGGCCTTTGAAATGGGAGTAACTTTATCTCTTCATTGAAAACCTTCAACATCACACTATCTCAGCTCAAGTCACATGGCATAAACCTGACAATGGTTTTGTTAAGATCAACTCTGATGGGAGTGAAATGACTAATCCTGGAAAGATTGGAGGTGGTGTTATCATCAGAGATCACCATGGTCAATTCATTCATGCAATGGCTATTCCTCTGGGGAGAGTACCAACAATTATGCTGAAACTGAAGCAGCCAGATTAGGAGTCTAGTGGTGTTTGGACAATGGATTCCTTAAAATCTATTTAGAAGCAGACTCAGCTCTTTTGGTCAGATGGTTGACAGAGGATAATGACTCACCCTGGGTTTTGAATATAAAGGCCCCCCAACTTAGGCTTCTGTGCACTCACTTTGTGGACTCAAAGTCTCTCATGTGTACAGAGAAGCAAATGCCCCTGCTGATTCCCTTTCAAAACTCAGGCATGACCTCATTACTCTAACAACCTTCACCACTGTCTCCTCACTCCCATCTCACATTAGGGGCCCAATTATTCAGGACCAATTGGGTACCCCAGCCTTCAGGCACAAGAAAACTACCAGGCTGATGGTACCTCCACAAAATGCAAGCTCGTCTTCTACTTCTCATGGATATGGTTGTAACTATTTCAAAGAAGGGGCTACAGTCATCCGTCCAAATGAAGCACACCATGCACTAATTAAGGGCAATCACTGCCCAGACTAATATCACTTTATTTTTTGCAGGTAACATCATTATGGGACTGCACAGTCTATTGGCCCTTCCTTAGAGTGTGGTATCAACAGCTATGTTGTTCAATCTACTGAGGAATGAACAATCCTTACTGTTCTTCCAGGGTGTCATTCTCTGGATCTTCAGTCAAGAAATGACATTATTCACTGGAAAAGGGATAACACTTTCCTCCAATACACAGAAACCCAGCAAAACCAAGCACACCAACATCACAAAACCTACTACTCTCATGATCACACCAAACACCAAATGCATTCTGACAAACAAAACAACCAGAACCATCCATACCAGTTAACCCCAGCTTCTCACATACAATTCCTCTCCCAGAAGCACCAACACAAAACTCAACCACTCAATCCCACTGAAAAGCACAAAAAACATTCTGTCCACACCTATGTAACCCAAAACAATACCAACCCCACAAATAAGGGCAGGAAGGCCAATTTTTTCTCTAATTTTGTTTTCTTTTTTGTAGGTACTCGTATTACCAATTTGCCCACTCAAATGGTATATTTCCTAAGAGTGTCCACTCCCTAGGGAATTTATCAATTGAGGGATGTAAACCTCTTCATCCGTGGCACCAAAATAACACCTCCATCTGGGACTGAACCTAAAAAGTTTTCCCCTTTCCTCTTTCACTTTTCTACATCAAACCTCCCTTCCCCCCAACCCATACTATCACTAACACACCCCTCCACCATAGTTCAGACTACACCTATACTCCCACCTTTTCACCTTATTTCCCACTAAATCACAATCCACTATTCTCAGTAAATTCCATTTCCCAGCAAATCAGCACATCCCTCCTTCCCACTGTCCAATCCCACAATCACAATAACTGTCAAACACCCAGAGGCAGTACACACAAGAACCTGCAACTAGGTGTTCATCATGAAATGGAGATGCTACCGATCTACAGATCTCCTTCCCACATATACACAATTCCATTCCATGCTTATTTTCCCAATCAAGAGTCCACAAGAACCTAGAAACAATGGTATTACCACAGAACAAAAAACCTTATGGCACCTTTACTACTAACAAGTTTGCTTAATTTTGCAGGTACACATAAACAACTTAGCCAGTTGTTGCAGCTTCAATGTGTGGTATCAGCATCTTGGATGCTCATTCCACTGAAGCTGCACCAACTTAGCCAAGCCCCGCTTCTCTCAATCGAAGCTGGAACAACACTATCCATAAGTGCCAGCCTCAAGAAGCACCTCATGTGCAGGCACCTACCTCTTCAATCTGCTTCTTCCTTGGTACCACACAATAATCAACACCAGGAGAATTCAGCACTGTCAAATCACAATCAGTCAACCACCCTCTTTCCCATCCAACTAAAGCAGCAATCAATTAGGGGTTCAGACCTACTCAAGCTGCCTCACTGTAAAACTCGACCTATATCCTCTCAACAATATACCTCACTCCAGCAGGTTCTTCATAAGAGTCTATACTTTCTTATCCTGCATGGTATATTCAGCAATCTCCAGCACCTCAGGTACAGAAGTGCAAGCACGAGACTCCCTTGTCTCACTGAAGATAGACAATGCTCACTCTCATATGTCAGCAAGATCAGGCATCACTACACCAATAGTCTTGTTTTTTGGGTTCCTTTGCATGCTATCTTCAACATTGCTTTCCTTGTCAATGTCAAAGCAAGGTTGAAGATAGCTCTTTTTAGCACCATATGTACTTTGCCTCTCTTAATAGGGAATATCTACTCTTCTTATAGATGTAGAATTTTGTGTATATGGAAGGATATCTTCCAACTCAGTAGCTCGGTAAATTTAGGACTTCTAGTACGCTTTTGTATAGTTGACCTAGGCTTAGTTCACTCTTATTTTGTATACCCAAGTGGCAATCACACATGGATAGACACTTGGCACATCACTATAGGTCTAACTAACCATAGTTCATTGGACCCATTTGATTGTCAAAGTAAGATGATCAAATGGATACCATTCTCAGAGGTCAGGTTCATGACCCCCTCCGCTGTTGTACTTTATTGTTTATATATGAAAATTAACCCTAGACACAATGTCTAGTGGTTTTTAAAAAAAAATATAAGGGAAAATAGTGACAAGTAACAAGTTAAGGTATAGGAAGAAATT